AAGTTATGGAAGCTCATATGTTCTGCTAATTAATAACTGCTATCAATGGTTCTCTATTAGAATTATATTAACCATAGTCCGCATGAAAATGGTAATAATCATTGCTTCTTCTTCTTTTCTTTTCTTTTCTTTTAAAAAAAAGAAAAAATCAGTTTTCCATCTTTTTTGCCTTAACATCCTTTTGTTTTTCTAATTCATAGTTTGTTTAATTCACTAATGAATATTTAATTTTCTTTATAAAAAATCACTCCTGTATCTGGCCATGCCATGCATTGGGGTCAAAAAGGTTGAGGAGTTACTCCTTGTCTGGACAATGAATTGGACTTTGGGGGAATATCTGAAGTTCAGGATTTCTGTGTTGAAGGTAATCGGTTAGAGTGAATATGCAGAAGTAACCTCCAATTCATAGTGAAAACAAATGGTTTAGAAATTCATATTTTCATTTGCAGAATATTGTTTGTTGAAAGTCTTTGGGCCTCTTCATTATATAAGAAACGTGTTAAAATATTCGTTTTTATTATGTGTATATTTACCTACTGGCAATTTATTGCTTGTGGAATGACTATTGCATTATGTGATATGAAACAAAGCTGAAGATATTTTCTTTAGAATGGTGGGGTTAAGTATATGGTTTGGTCACTGGAGGTTTTCTTGGAGCACACTCTGAAAATATATTGCTTAAAACTGGTGAAGCTCTGAAATGGACTGAGAAAACTGTAGTATGACTTCTGCTTTTCAACTACGTTTCAAGCAATCCTTTGGGAGATACACGTGCATGTCAATGGGAATAATTTTCCTTTAAACTGTCATCAATATTCTGAAATGAAACTAATAACATAAGTAGTTTTTTCAGCTGATAAATTTCTACATGCTTTATTCAGTTGTCAAATCTGTTTGAGAAGGGTGATTTGTTATTTTATTGACCAGAGTAGTTTGTGAATTTACTGAAGTAAAAAGAATAGAATAGAGGAGGTTGACATCTGTTTGAGAAGGGTAATTTCTTGATTAGAGTAGTTGGTAAATATAATGAAGTAAAAAGAATAGAATAGAAGAGATACTCAAGGCGATTTCTTCTCCAGTTTCTCTTAAAAGAAAGCTGCACTTGCTTGCTTGAAATAAAAAATATGTTTATGAATGTTTACTTTCCCTTGTATGGTACTAGCTATTTTTGTCAATCATTCAAAGACCAAATGAAGGATGAAACTGGGATTTCTTTGCTACTTTCCAAAAAATATTTAACTTTCAGTGAATAATCCTAGGATCCTTTTCTGGATGTATGAAATGATGTTGAAATTTGAATCCATCTCATCTGATTCTTTTAGTCAACCTGCATGTAATGCATGGTTACTACGGATGAGTGGTTAGAGTTGGATCTGACATTTTTGTTCATTCCACAGCTTGAAAGCAGTAGAAAGTTTTCTGTGGATGGGAAGTGAGCAAGTCCGAATAACTGTATCTTCTAGAAGTGGGTGAGTATATTTTTCATCGGCCTTTATGCATTTTTTTCTATAGGTTTAAACTTATATGATTTTAGAAAATCAAGGATTTTATCCTATCTTTTCAATCGCCCAAATTTGAAGTCACCACCCTATACCATCTCTTCAGTCTTTTGTTTGCTTGTTTCGTATGATTTCAAATTGCTCCTAACTTAAAATATATCGAGTTCATAAAAAATGGTTTTATGATCGTTTTTTTTTTTCTTTTGATCACGTCCTTTCAATACACTCTCTCTCCATATCTTTTCCTTTTATTCGAATATTTTGAGTAGGAAATATATATTTTTACAACTCTAACCCACTTTTTATCTATTAACTTTAATTATTTAACCTATCAACAAAATTTTCTTTATTCTTTATCTGTTTCTTAAGTAAATACATAAATCTTCTCTAAATTTTTAGTATAAGGAATGAGGCAAAAGATGACAGTTATTTGAGTAATGCTTCGACTGTTTATGAAGAAAATATACTAAAATTTTGAATGAAACTTGATTCTTGTGGTAGGCGCGGCATTCTGGCCCATGGTTTAAATGTTTAATTAAAACTCTCCTGGTGGGCCTGGTTGAGTCGGTATCTCAAAGTATAATCAGGAATCTTTGCATTTGTGAATATAGGGCCGGCAGGCCTATTCCATTTGGTCTGGTAGACAGCTTTCGTTTCATTTGTGCTCTAAAGCCGATTTA